CAATAATGGCTGAAAAAAAGGAATTAAGTGTGATTAACCTAACTCCTTGTCTTATTTTATTCTATAGTTCCGTTAATTACACGTGATACGATCCCCTACAATGCAACTAAATATAAGATGCTAAGGGTGATCAAATCTTAACATACACAATATAATCTAATAGAATAAAAATTAAATATTAAAGAAAAATCAATACCAACATTAAAAGTAAAAATCACACAAAGTTTAAGGTAGGATCCACCATAGTCCTAGTTATGAGTTTAATTACTCATAACAAAATAAACTACGAAAAACATGATAAATAAACCCATAAACACAAAGAAAAACTCAAACAAAAGAAACCTAGAAAGGTAAAAGACGAAGAAAGTTCTCGTTCTTCGAAGGGCGCTTAATCACTTACTTGGACTCCAATGGAAAGCTTATTGTCCTTGTCAATAGTCTCTAATAACTCTTAAAGATGAGTTTGGTTAGAACTAAGAAGAAGAAGAAGGTGTGTAAAGAAGTGGAAGTGTGCTAAGTGTGGAGCATAAGGCCTCTTTATATAGGCTATGCCTTGAGTTTTCAGTCATTTGAACTTTATCTTTTTAAATCAGTTTTATCCACAATCAACATAACTCAAAATCTTCATATCTCAATCTTTATCTAAGTTTAAATTTTAAATTCAAAATTTAAACTCAAATTCACATAGCACAACCAAGGATTAAATGTATCTAAGTTTTATCCAGAATATCTCTATAATGCATTAATAACAACTTCTAACTAAATTGCAACAATAATAACATAATTAGTTTAAATATACATGAAATAGGGTTTAAGTGTATAAATATAAGTCATAAAATATATCAAAATATGAACTTATCAATGATATAAGAGATTAGCCATCCATCCATTAGAATTATAAATTATGCTCAAATTATACAATCTTATTAAATTTTGCAATAAAGCTTATGAAATTTTGCCTAAATATGTATGTGATGCATGCTAAATGGGAAAAATACACTGACTTTCCTTTCCTGTATATATTAACTCATTTACCAAAACTTTACATCTATGTAGATCATCCCCAACTTCTAGTAGTGGCAACTATAGATACTATATATCCTTTGTAGATTCATACACTAAATATAGATGCATATATCTCCTAACCAACAAATTCTAAGCTTTTCAAGCCTTCATCCAATTTAAACAATTTATAAAAATAAAAATTGAATTTAAAATTCAAGCCTTACAAATAGACAATAGCAAAGATTATTTGTTCCAAATCTTCACTAATTATCTTACTTTCAACGACATTAGACATAGATTCTATTGTCCATACACCCACTAACAAAATGACAATGCATAAAGGAAATATAGACACATTACTGAAGTTGGATAAACCCTCTTAACTCAACGTAAAATACCTCTTACTTACTGGATAAAGTCTTTCTAATAGTCACCTACCTCATAAATTGACTCCCTTCACCAATAATAAATTAGACCTCACCGTTCGAACCGTTCAAACCCCTAAATCATCACAAAACAGATTACTAATTCTTCAAAACTTTTGGTTGCACTTATTATCCACTCCTAAAATCATATAACCATCACAAAATAAAGTTCAAATCTAATAAGTGCTTATTCATTGGCTGAGTAAATAATCACAAAGGATACAAATGTCTCTCACCGTCTAGAAAAATCTTTATTTTTAGAAATGTTACATTTGATGAACTCGAATTTCCTTACTCCACATTGTTTTCTACTTGTGCATCGAATTTTGGTACATCAAACTCTACTACAAATACCACATCTCATCTACTTTCAATTTCACAAACCATGTTTACACACATCATACTATCTACACATTCACCTATCCATCATACTATCTACACATGCTTTAATAGAGTTCAGATATTAGTGATAGAAAATTAACAAGTGGATTTTAGGTATTCTTTGGACCTAATCTAGTCTCTTGGTCGAGTAAGAAATAACAAGTCATATCCCCGTTCTAGTATAGAAGTTGAGTTTCATAACATCACATTTGTTGTAATTGACATCACTTGACTTTAAACTTTTCTGCTAAAGCTACATATCCCATGTCTTTATATTCTTTCCATATTCTTTGACAATTAGATTATATTTCTTTTGGTTGCAAACTCCATTCTTCCTAATAGATCAAACCACTTTGAGTTAGACTAACACTTTATTTGATTCAAAGTTGTTCAAAATGAAGTCCATGTTCAATACATCCCCTTATATGTACAAATTGCAAATGTCTTAACAAAATCACTATCCTTAACCAACCTTTGGTTGAGAGACGAACTTAAGGTTAGACTCCCTCTACCCTTTAATTTGAAGGGGTATGTTAGAGATACAATTCAAAGTTAGTTGCAATTGAGTCAATTACTTTTTTGTTTTAAGTTAATGAGCCGTTAGTATTATTAGAGTAATTGACATTGCTTAACTTATTATAAATACATGATTATATTTGTATTTAATTTTTTATTCAATTTTTCATTCAATGAAAATAATTTAATTCATGATGAGCTTTTACTTTGTATCACATATCTAGTATCTTTTCAAACATTCAATAAATACACCAAAAATTAAAGAAAAATAAAATTATAATAAGTAAAACAAATAAATTTTTTTTTTCCAAATATACATCGTCTTCATTTACAACCTCATTCTCATATTTCTCTTGTGTTTTTCCCTTAAATTATGTCTTAGGTGCTTTTTTTAAACATTTTTATTGAAAAAGATATAAATGTACAATATCCACCACCCAATTTTTTTTGGGGCCTACAGTGGAATGTGCAATGAAATAAGAAGATAAAATACCTCTACAAGCTTGAAATCGATGATAGCTACAGTACACAGAAAGGACCCAAACTAATTAATCTAATAAATGAGTGGAGCCATTAATTTGTTATTGTTGGTTTCCTTTTTCTTCTTAATTTGTTTTGGATGCATGTCATCGTTATTCACATGCATTTTCTATACCACCATACTCGACAATTTTTTGGGGCCTCTCATTGTACTAATGGTGATGCCATTTTCCTTCCAAACTTTTGTTTCAACTTGCTTTAAACTATTCAATTTGAACATACATGAAAATTTTATGACTTATGAAAGTAAAGTGTTCTAATATTTTTTCAGAATTTGGCCTTTCTATCTTTTTTATTTTTAATTGAACTTTCTCAACGGTGGCCATTTTAATTTTCTTTGAAGTCTATTTTGGGGTGGATGAGGTTCACCGAAGCATGAACTTCAATGTCTGCATATATATGAATTGGTGAATCGAATTGAATATTGCATTTATATAAATGTTAATGGAGCTTTTACTTTTTTGCATTGAATTGCACGATGTTGATTCTAGCCGAAGTTTGAATCTTGAGGTTTGGTGTCTCACGGTGATTAATACACTTTTGATTTTTATCATTTTATGCGTGTGTACAGGTCACATATTAAAATAAACTGTTAATTTTATGTGAGAATAAAATATTATAACATAAAATTGTATATATATATATATATATATATATATATTAAAATTCTTACATTCGATTCAAACTTTTTATTTAATTTATATTTAATTATTTGTAAAGTAATAAATTATAATCTGATAGATATAATCTTAAAAATTTTTCATACATTAAGTAGGTAGTATGTATATGCAGTTGGTTGGGTGGTTTGTTGCTTATAAAGTTATAAATAATAAAAATTGATCTTCTATAAATATTTACACTTATTCATTCCCTATGTGCATTTTGATGATCCGTGCTTTTAATAAAAAATGAATATATCATCGATAAATTATAAAAATAAACAAACTTATAAATGTTTATTGCTGTAGTGATGAAAATTTAAGAGAAAAAGCCACTCCATTGCAAATTTTAAATGCTACAAGCTTTGGAAAAATATGAAAGTAACACTTACATATAATTTAACAATAGCTAAAATTGAATTGAATTGAAAAATCGTTTTTAATGACATTGTCCAATACTAAAAGTTGAAATAATCTTCAGACCTATAAATTTTACACATTAACCTCTGTACTTACACTGACAATAACAAGAATAATTTTTTATTTGTTTACTATAGATTATTTTTTCTTGGTCTATTTATGAAGTTTTAACTTTTAATTTGTATACAATAGAATTGTAATTTCTAGACCCAAAAAAGAGAATTGTAATTTTACTACAATAAATGTTCAGGGGCTTTATGGGCTGAAAAACTTGTACTATGAGTAATTAATGTCAAGAGGGCATTTGATGGGCCTTAAAATCATAATGCGAATTTGTTGTCAGTTATGATTCCTCTGTACGCTTGTACTCTGTACAATACAAGCCATGAACCTAGTTTTTCTTCTCCAAAGCAATTATTCAATATTTAATTATTTAAATGTGCTATTTTTATAAAGGATATTTATAGCATTTTAATGAATATACCTTCCAAATATTAGTATGAAATTTGACAATTGACATTAATTGCCTTCACTTTTGCAAAAATGAGCAATCAAGATCAGCACAAAATCAATTAGCAAATGAAAAATCAGTAATTCAAAATCAGCACAAAATCAATGATTCACTTTTAATTTATATACAATTAATTGCCACATTGACATGGAACATGAGTCACATGCACAAAATCAATAAATCACTTGTTGATTGTATAAATTGTTCACTAAATACAACCGATCAATCTTAAAATATTGGCAAACAAGTCATCCATCACTTAGCAATATTAAATCAAATAACATTGTTGCCGTGGGCCAATACTTGAAAATTCTAAATTACCTTTGTTAATGCTAATAAAGTAAAATAAAACTTTCCAGCACAAAAAGTTTCCCAGTCTCCGATCACAAATTTTCTACACCTAACATCTTCAATAAAAACAAGTAGCATGTATTTTTTGGTGCAATCCTAAAAAAGTGGAAACAAATAAAACGTGGGATTCAAAAGCACCCACACAGTAAAAGAATGAATAAAAAAATGATTGGCAATTTCATTGCATATGGACCTTCAATAAACATTTCATTGAAACTCCCCATAAATTTCATATTTGCAATTAAATGTAACACCATGTTAAATTACAAGAAGGTTTCCTCATGCATGCCAGAAACTTGGACATGAAAGGTAAACCTCAAATGTCTTCAGAAAAAAAATTATTTACACAACAGTCCACAAGAGCATGCATTGTTCTTGGACTAATTTCAGCTTGATCACTCATTTACAATTATCAAAAGTGCTTTTAGTCCAAACAATTAAAGAGAAGGTCAAGTTAAACAGTGCCATCCATAGTGCATCTTGGGTTTATAACTCTCCCAAGTCCCAACATATTGAATGCTTGAGAAATAATTCTTGCTATCCAATTGCTTTTGATTGTATTTCATGCTGGCTTTTTTCACTAGTTTTCTTCCCATCTCACAACTTGAACTGATTTGCATCAATGGTATCATCACCTTGGTCTAATTTGAGAAAGTCTATTGTTCCATACTGCATGAAGAATCATATGGAACAAGTCATACTTAACAGGAACTTTGTGCCACTGGAAATGCTGCTGAACCTTCTTTACTCCCAAATGAAGTGCCAAGTACTTCTCTTCTGGGATTGAAAGAAGTATGTTTCTAAGATTAGGGACATCCCTCTCACGAACAAATATGGAAAATGCTTCCCACTTCAATACCTCAAATAAAGGAGGCACATAATTATCTGATATGATAACTGGCACACACTCAGACAAAATGGCCTCGACTATTCTTGGACTATAAACCTCATAACCTCTAGCACATATGCAATACTTACTGCTATTCATGTAATCCATATAAATTCTTTTACCTTCCAAATCACGCGGCATTGGACCGAAAAATTTCATGTCAGGTTCTTTATTCCCCCAGTATTTTAGCAGGATTGGACGAAGATAACCATGCATGCTTCCAGCAAAAAAGGCCAGAAAAGACCTTTCTGAAGGAGGTTTACATGCAAATCCTCTTAGTGGATCCATCATTAAGTGTATATATGTAGCAGGTAAAGTAGTGTCCTTGCCTATTTGGAAGCCTTTAGCAACATTAGAATTGCAGAGAGACCTAATACAACTTCCCATTGGTTGCCTGGTGATTTGGGTGGCCTGCAATTTCATACATCACATTATGTCAATATTGCAGAAAATTTAAACTGTGCCTTAGACTAAGGTTCCACAACATTAATACAGTATGGGGACATTATCCCTTTCATTAGATATCTAAGCAATATGCTAAAAGCTTTCAAAAACAATTTATTTCAAAATTTGCATCTAGTTCTACTGTATAAAGCAAAACATGTCAGTTATAGAACTATTGGCCTGAAAAACTTCTTCCATAATTTAGGATAATAATTATTTACACAACAATGACCAATGACAAAACTTAGCCTCTTCAATCATTCTAATTTCTAGAATCACGGTCCTCAGATCAGATAGACTTGTACACCTGCAAAGTTGTGTGCGAGCTACATTTCTTGAGTATATGATAAATCTAACTATATGTGGCTGATTTAAGTAAGGTTCGATCAAATTTCTGAATCGGTGAATGCTTGTTTGCCCAAAAGAATTTTCTTAAAGAAGATCAATCTCAAAAGGGAACTTAACTGACAATATTCAGTTAAAAAGTTATATAAATACGAATAAAAGTGATGCATTGGAAGCGCACCCAATCATGACAAGCAACAAGAAAATGATCTGCTCCCCCAGTTCTGTTCCAGAAACGATATCTTCCTGCAATTAACCCCACATAGTTCTCAAGGTATTGCTCCATCTTCTTACCATCAGAAAGAGTAACTCTTAGCTTTTGTGAACTGAAAGGTAGGTAAAACAAATGAGCTTTTCGGGGATCCTTCACAATGAACCTTTTATTTCCCTCCATCAGTTTCATAAACCACCCCTCTGAGGCATAAATTCCTCTCATCTTTGCTTGATGAAATATAGGTTTGGCTCCTTCTCTATAGACATAAACTTTGAGCTTGCGCTCCATCAGTTCATAACTCCTGAAGAAAATATGTACATATATGCTTCAGTTATCTACGGAAAGAAGACCTATATATTAAATCACAAACGAGTTATTGAAAATGATTTTAACAAATCTAGAATCTAGTCAAATCAATTGTAATAGCACACTAAGCAAAAATCCTAAGACTGATTGCAATTGAGACATGAGAGTATAAGAATGATAAAGAAAATGAATAATTGACAAGCCAATGCTATGCTAAACATTTCACATATTGCAAATGTAAGGATATGCCTTGAAAACTTGGAAACATCCCGGAAAATTGGCGCATAAAGTCCTGAAGAATTTGTTATGCTACTGGCATTTTCAATCTGCAGTTTTGCAGATAAGAGTTCCATGTCACGTCTAGAAGACCACCTTGGCCTCTGCCATCAATAACAGTATGTGAAAATTAGGAGTCCATACACATTCCACAATGAATCAAATTGGAATCACAGAACTGAATTTCATACCATAGATGAGGAATTAAAATTCTGAAACAACAAAGAGTTCATCTGTGCTATTGAAGTTGGCCACACAAATTTACTCCTCATGGATGATTTACCCATCTTCTTTTTATCATTCAAGATGGACAAAGGAGATTTCAGCAGCTGTGATTTCACGTTTTGAGGTCCCTTTTCCATCCTTTGAATTCCACTAACATTTGAAGGTCCCTTTTTCAGATTTTTTATGTCATGTGAATGAATCCCTTGCGATTCAAATTGCACATTATTTTCCTGGTGTTGAGCACTGGGTCTGTTATCCTCATCCATTTCTCTAGCCTTCTGTGTGGTATTCTGCGCATACTTGGGCCTTTTCTGAGTGAAACTAAAAATCGTATCTTCATGATTTTCCACTTCAAAACTCTTATTCGGTTCGATTGAAGGAGAGGCAAAAGAAACATTAAGCTTTACATTGGTGGAAGGGAATCCAAACACACCCTCCTTTTCAGCAGTTCCAGAAATGGAAACTTCAACAGGCAAAACTACTAACAGAGAATAATACGTAGTCCAATAAGATTGGAAAGCAACGATCATAGCAACGAACACCCCAACAATTAAGAACCTTCTAATTGCCACATAAGAGATACCCATTTCATGCAAAACTCAACCAATAAACTTTCCAATCAACTGAATTAAACATAAGCCACTGAAAGCACACACAGTACCATATTTCGAAGAAATCTTCTGATTTGAATTACCTTCAAAAACTTCAACTTTAACCAAAAACACACCCAATAAAAGTTAGAGTTTCTACACAAATTTCAACCCAAAAGTATATTTAAAAAAGAAAAAGAAAAATTAAAGAACATTACCTTAAAACAATGCAACTTCAACAGCTACTCTGCTGGCATGTGAGTTGCTCAAGCTAAAACTAAAACTCAAACTCAAACTCAAACTCAGCAGAATATGAAAATATGACCTTGTTGATGAACATAATTACGATGGTACCACTGTGATTGAAAAACGACGTCGTTGTTGTGATTCCCGAAAATACCCTTCTTCCGTGAGTGAGTTTTATGAAGGGTTTAAGGGTTTATGCAACTATCGTTGAGAGAAGAAGAAATGGACACGAGTCTGAATGTGGCAATTCGATTACCCATATTTTCCCCACCCCTTGACCCGAACCCGAACCATAACCGTTCTTCCACGGAGCTCCGTTTCTCGCGGTGGAACAACGCTAACGCCGAGAAGTTCAACCGGCGCCAGCGAACCATCCACGAAATCGAAGAAGAAATCCGCCGCACTCGCCGCTACAACGCCGCCGAAAACATCGCTGACACCGCCGTCGTCGATTCCGCAGCCGACTCCGCCGCAGAAAGGTTCAAATCCTACGGAACTCCCTCCGCTCCGTCGAGCCCTTCCATCCCGGGGAAGAAATCGAAGTACTGCAAGCCACCGCCGAAGCCGAAACCCTTGCTCGATTCGCATCCCGTGGTTTCGCGCGCCTCGAGCCTCCAGTTTCAGCCGGGGCCGGCGAACGTGAAAATCGGCGACGATGGAGTGTCCTACGTGGTCGACGGCGCGCCGTTCGAGTTCAGGTTCAGTTACACGGAGACTCCGACCGCGAAACAGGTGAAATTGCGCGAACCTCCGTACGCGCCGTTCGGACCGGCCACCATGCCGCGGCCGTGGACCGGCAGGAACCCGGTGCCGCCGAGCAAAACGACGGTGAAGGATTTCCAGTCACTCGTTCTTCCTCCGGAGAAGCCTGAACCGGTTCAGTCGTCCGGTTCGAATTTGGTGTCGAGAGAGGAGATATTAGGAGAACCGTTGACTCGGAATGAGATCGTTGACTTGGTTAATAGCACTTTGAAATCTAGCAGCCAACTCAATATAGGTATTTTTCTTGCTTTCTTTACAATTATTTGAAACTTTTGGCTTTCAATTTCATTGCATCTTTTGGCTTTCAATTTCATTGCATGTTCTAAAGTTTCAGATTATATTTGTAGTTATGTTATGTTGCTTTGTTTGAAGAAATGTAGGTGTTTTATGAAACCTTACTGGTAGCATTGTTCATAACATTGAATGAGGAGTGGTATGTAGTATCTGTTAGATGAGTGTTTGAAGAAATTTGGGAATTCTTTGGACTCAAATTTTCTGTTCTAGGTAGAGATGGTTTGACACATAACATGTTGGAAACTATACATACTCATTGGATGAGGCGAAAAGTGTGCAAGATAAGGTGCAGGGGAGTGTGCACTGTTGATATGGATAATGTGTGCAAGCAGTTAGAGGTTTGTTTCTTATGCTTCTAATCTCTTTAATCATTTGTTTCTTACCAATTCATGATGACTTTCTGCATGCGGCTTTTTTATACTTTGAGAAGGTTTGGAAATGATGATTTCACTTTGCATCTCGCATTGTTTTGTTTGGTTTGGATTTGCCAGGAAAGGACTGGAGGGAAAGTTATTTACAGGCAGGGTGGCACAGTGTACCTTTTCCGTGGCAGATACTACAACTATAAAACACGGCTGCGTTTGCCTCTGATGCGGTGGAAACCTCTTTCTCCAGTTTATCCTAAGCTCATTCAAAGAGTTCCAGAAGGTCTGACACTAGAGAAAGCAGATGAATTACGTCGAAAGGGAAGGGACTTGATGCCCATACGCAAGCTAGGTAGATTGTTCAATTTAACATTAAAGGAAAATTGTTGTCTTTCTACTGCCAAACTGACATGTGCCAATCTTTATGTTGTTGTAGCAAAAAATGGTGTTTACTGGGACCTTGTAGCTAATGTCAGAGAGGCATTTGAAGAGTGTGAGCTCGTGCGAATAAATTGTCAGGGACTAAATATAAGTGACTATCGAAGGATTGGAGGAAAACTAAAGGTTTGACCAAGTTCACCTCTATTTTGCTTCCAATATTGAAGATAGTATGTATTGACTCATGTATGGTGAATCCTATCAATGATGCTATAGTAACATCTTTTCTTCTATGTATGTATTGGACTTTAGGATCTTGTTCCGTGTGTATTACTTTCATTTGAAGATGACCACATACTGATCTGGAGAGGACAAACACAACCTTCGGATGCCAAAGAATTGTCAGTGCTGTGTATACAGAAGAATCCAGTGGAGCAACTAAGCAATGAACCTCTTGACACTAGCATTTCCTCTAATTCAGATGATGCGAGTATGCATAAGGTTGTGCCTTGTCCCACAGAAAATAGCAATCTACCCGTGTCTGTCGTTACTGGTGCTGCTTCACTTCCTCTGAAAACCTATGAAGTTGAAACCGCTGAAGATATCACAGCCTCTACTTGTGAGCCACAACCCTGCAGGAGCACCAGTCCAAGTGTGAATGTGCCTGGAACTAGTAACAATAACATAGTGGATACTCATCCTGACAAGTTGCTAGATGGTTCAGGAGCAGCACATGCCAGGGAGCCCTCAAGTTCTGCAACACTCTGTACAGAAGGAATTTTATTACTGTTGGAGCAAGCTGTTGAGAAAGGCAGTGCACTTGTTTTTGACGATGAACCTTTGGATGATGACTTTATTTATCAAACCACATTGGCTTTTGCCGAGTCAGCTCCACCTGAGCCCATTTTTAAGCTACCTAGAAAGGTTATAGTTCAAGAAAGTGACAAGCAAGAAGGTTTGAAATTGGAGACAGAACAAATAACCAGTGTTACACTGAAAGATGAAAATATGGATAAGAATTCTAACGTTAATAGAAAAGAATTGGTTGAGGAATGTCCGAATGGAGTACGAGGAACAACAATAGTGGATAAACTTGCAATTCTGAAATGATACCAGATGGTAGTATCAAAAGAAGGAAAAATTTAGTCCTTCTGCAGTACATATTGCTTTCGAAAGTAGGTTCGTTCGTTAGCTATGATGTTAGTTATTTATTTTAGGGAATCAAATCATTGATGTTTTATTCTGCTATATCTATCCATTACGTTGTTTTTGTTCCTTTGTATATTCACAATTCCAATATTACATTGATGTGATTACTTCTATACCGTTATTAAATTGTTGGCCTCCTGGTTCTACATTGTTGTCTTTTTCGTAGGTAATTCTCGTTTGAAGAAAGATATTACATAATAAATATAAATCAACCATATTTGAAAGATATAAAGCTTATATTGATAATGTAACTATCAAAAAATGCTAACAAGTAGTTTTGCTTGCATATGGAGGATTCAAAAATAAAAAAATAAATGAAAAGGTAAATTTTTTAAAAAGTATTGATATATTTACCGTTATACTTCTCATCAAATATTTTTTACTTTTGTTTCTCCTGTTACCCAAATAAATTTTAGACTGGTTAAATGTATTAAGTTCAAAGGCTCTCAAACAGCTTCAGGCTTCACATTGGGTACCCCTTGGTCCCTCTGTCCAACTATTGTCTTCCAGAACCAATGATTTTCAAAAAGAAAATAAACCTCCTCAATTGGAACTTGCTTTGTTTCCGGCAAGAGAAAGAAGACAAAGCCACTCATTCCCATAATTAAGCCAGCAAACAGCAAGAAGATTCCATATTTGAGGTGGCAAAGTGACATGAGGAAGAGTTGTGCCACAAGCGCAGTGAAGATCATGTTGACACACACAACAACACTCTGTGCTGCTGACCTGATCTCCAATGGGAAGAGCTCACTGGGAACCAACCACCCCAGTGGACCCCATGATCTTCCATATGCCAAAACGAATAAGAAAATCACTATAACTAGAAACACACTGATGCCTTTGGACAGTTCCTTGCCATGTCCAAACTCCAGAGCCAATACCACAGCTGTAGCAATCTGCAAAACAGAGTGCAGCAAAAAGCATTAGCTACCATATCATTTGTTAGATGAAACTCAAGGACAGTAGCATATAAAACCTTACCATGCAGCATATCATTTCAAAACCAGCTTCCAGAAAGAATGCTCTTCTACCAAACTTGTCAACTAAAAACATTGAGATCACTGTGGCAACAAGGAGTGCACCATTGGTAATAAAAGATGAGAAGAGTGATGCTTTAGAGCCAAATCCCAAACTTTGGAATATGACAGGAGCATAAAAGAGGATGGAGTTATTGCCAGTGAGTTGCTGAAATGCTGGAATTCCTAGGGCACCTATCACTAGTTGGGGCCTGTACTTTCTCTTGAGTAGTGTCCCAAATGGGTTCTTCACAGCTTGTGCTTCTCTGCTGGCATCAAGAAGATCCTGAAATTCAGCTTCAACATTCTTGGTACCTCTAACTCTCTCAAATACCCTTCTTGCTTCCTCTAATTTGCCTTGTTCCACAAGACTGTTAGGTGTCTCAGCACACAAGATCCCCCCAATAAGCATTAGAGTTGCTGGAAAAGCTGCCAAACCCAGGGATATTCTCCATCCATAAGGATGGACTTTGTCTGTAAAATAGTTCACAAGGTTTGCAATTAATATTCCTGCACAGGTTGTGAACTGAAACAGTTGGTTCACTGCTCCTCGGTTTTTTGCTGGAGCCATTTCTGAAAGATAGAAGGGAACAGCCTGCACAATCAGATGGCAGTAAGCAAAACTGCGTTTTTCTGTACTTTTTTCTGTTTTATTGAATTTTATTATTATTAGGAAAATATTTGATGGACACCCTTTGAAGTGTAGACATCCAGAGAGAGATAAGAAGGGAAGAGAGACAAGTAATAAATATCAAAGATGAAAAGTGATAGAAAGAAAAAGAGAGTGTCTAATGGTTAATGATGAGATTATCATTATTCCGCATTTGTTCTAGATTGAAACCATTTGTCCTTGTTCTTGTACTTTCCATTAAAAAATAACACGTGATTAAGCAAGTGTTTGGTTGCACATTCCAACATTTCAAACGTGTGTTATTTTTACACTCCAATGCGTATTCACTGGACGTATAAATTTTAAATGATTTTAGCCTGCAATCAGACACAGACTAAATAATATTAGAATTTGAGTGTTGAGCCAATTTATGAGGATAGAAGAGAGAGGACTAAAGCTCGAGTGTCTTATTTATCTAGAAAAAACTTTGGTAATTTAGAGTCACAGTAATCTTTCTTATATATCCTTTAATTTATTACTAAACAACCAATTCAGGACTTTGATATCTAACTAAAGGTTAATATTTGGGAGCATTTTTCACCTACTTGGTTTCCAAAACCAATGCCTCCACCAAGAAGGACCCGGCCAAGGATTAGCATGACAATGTTCTTGGCAGCCGCATTGAGAGCTGCGCCAGTGAGGAAGCTAAGAGCTCCAACTATGATGCTGGCTCTTCTGCCCTTCTTTCTTGTTAAGTAGGAAGCACCAAATGTCATAACAAGTGCTGAGAAATAAAGAGATGATGTAAAAAGTGTAAGCACTTGGTTGTCATATTTACAATAGTCTGTCTCTTTCAGATGCATCTGCTTTCTTCTGTACACTTTTGGAAAGAATTCCTTCAGGAAATCATCCATGGAAGTCACTCCACCTGCACCACATAAAAAGAGCTTGGAATTTCGATGTCTAATCTATGGTATCATGCAGACAACTGCTAATAACACACACTTTAGTATATTTTTAACGACTAGTCATTTTTAAAAAAAAGATCAAAGTAATTTTGAAAAAAAAAAAAATCAATTTATGAGATAAGTACTTTAACCTTTTATAAAATGAATTAATTAAAAAAATTGGGTCCTAGAATATGTTTAAAAAAGTGCAAGTCAACATTTATCTATGCAACAATTTATATAATATCAAGAAGCCTTCGAAATTGTAGACTTAGTCTAAAGCTGCACAAGTTATAAAAAAAAACCGTTACTGCATTAGAAAAACTACATGAAATTTTTTTCACGAAAGTTTATTTAAATGATTTTATGCATGGAATTGATTTTTTTAAGATTGTAAACAAAAATTATGATGATTGCTAATAAATAAATCCTCAGAATAATAAATGAATTCCGTGTTTGGTCTATTCGAGGTTAATAAAATTAAATTAGCTAGTAATCGATGAAAAATAGGCCCAGTGGTATAAAATTGGCATAGTGCCGGCTACTTAATTTATTATGTTAAAATCAAGTTCAAAAGAGTTTCAAGCCAGCCAATAAAATAAGTTATGCTTTTATTTTAAATATTTTAAAAATAAGATTCTGATTTTGTTTTTAAAATTCATATAACTAATATAAAAAATAAAATTATTTTCACTAAAAAAATAATTTTTCCTTAAAAGTCAAAAACTCTAAGAAATGGACCTTTAATTTGCTGAAGTAACTGCAAAACACAGAAAAAATGTTCCTTACACAGTAATTTCATACAGAAGACTCAAATAATATCTAAACATCAAGATGAGAAGGGAAAATGTTGATGCTGGCATAAGTGGACTGTGAAAATTAATTATGTGAGGCAACTTTGGAATAAAACAATACATAACTGAATTATAGGAAAAAGTAACACAAAAAATTGAATCATATACAGATTAAAGAAGGCATGATGAAAGAAGTTTCCCAGAAAAAAACTAGAAGGAAAATAAGTACTTATACAAGAATTAAAGGAGTAACTGACCTGAAACACCAAGATCATAGCCAAAAAGAGAACCACCAAGAGCTCCAACAAAACAAGTAAAGGCAAAGTAAAGAGTGAACTTGTGCTCATAAAGATGAGCCCTTTTGAGTGGCCTCTCATATGGTAACCCTCCACCAGCCATCACTCTCTGCCACTACCTTCTTCCTTAACCTCTCTCTCTCTCTCTTCAAGTGCCGTGGCTTTTTCAATATCCTCAACAAGTAGACCAATGAGTTCACAACGTTGAGAGAAATTTATAGAGAAGCATATAGTCAACACCCTTTGGGACACGCCACATGAAATCTATATATATCATATGTATTTAGCTTTAATTCAAAGACAAAACAGTGAAAATGAGTGATCATAAAGATATGATCTAACTAAGGAATTGATTTTCATGATCCAATCCTAAATCAGAAAGAGTGTAACGACGTTCCAATGTCATTTTCTACACGTCATTTTTATTTCAATCAACGTTGTCTTACAAGATGAGAATATGATAATAACACAAAAAATTCAACAAAGGAAAATGTTTTACTCGCACACAATCATGTCACTTGATTGCATGAATCTAACGTTGATTTTTAACTAATAATTAAATAACTTTGAGGCGTAAAATATAGTTTTTTTTTCCCTTTCAACAATGCCCTTTTTATATAATACACGAGTAAAAGAAATTAATGGATATATGCAATAATTTGGATGAAGAAAAAAGCTAGTTCATTAAAAAAAAAACTTAATAGGTTGGTTCTTTTCTTTTATATTGGTTAAAAAGGTGGAATCGCTTTCATTTTATTCGTTAAAAAATGCTCTTATAATAATTAGTTAATGTGTCAACTAATTTGAAATCATAAAAAGGTACAATTAAGTAAAATGAAAAAATAAATTTAAAAAAAGTAAATGAGATGAGAGTTAAATTAATAAGTATTTTATGCATGAGCATTTTAAATATAAATAAAACATAAAAAATGTTTAATGTTCATGTAACTGACAAAGATACATTTTTATAGTATATAAAAGTACAAATATACATGCATTTTTAAGTTTTTATTTTGAAAAATATTAAAAAATAATTGAATTGATGAAAAAATCATTTTATCGGTGATTTATGAATATCTCATTATATTTAATATTAATTGGAAAAAAAATTAAAATTAAAACTTTTTAAGAAATGTGCCATCAGTCATTTGTAAAACATAAAATTTAGCTTTACAGTTAGATACATGTTATATTAGTTAACTCTAATTTGACTAAAACAAATACTGACAACCCATTTAAAATATATATTATTTGTGATTTTAAATACTTTTTATCGTTGAATTAAATTTATATGAATGTTACTAAATAAAAATTAAATTTCATATACGTTAAAAAATCTCATAAATTTAACAAAATATTTATAAACAGTATATTAATAGAAGCATAAAAAATATTAACAACATTCTCCTTTGATCAATAAAAAATTCCATAAACCTAATACAACTTCACATATGTTTAAGACAAGTAAAACAATATATTGGATGGATATGTATTCTAATAAAACAACTTACAAAAGGGAAAATTATTGTTTTATTAGATAGTTATATATTTTCAATATTTTATTCTTTTTAATCATGATCTGATATCAGGTATTCATAACATCTTAAAACAAATTAATAACATTGAATCCATATCAATTAACATTAATAATCATCCACGATTAGTTCAGAGAGGTCACCCCCAAAAGTCAAACATTACCAATGAAATATACCATAGGAAACACAATACATAAAAGAGATGGAGAACAACTTGAGTTTGAAATTTGTCCACTCTTAAATAAAGCAAATTATTCTGCAATGTTGGGTATATCAACTAGTATTACTAGTATAAGCGCTTACGACACTCTGCAGTACCACAATAACAAGGCATCTGCTTGATATTTCCATCCCGATCAGTAACACTGTTAAGCTTGTAACCATAGTCATATGTGAGTTCCTGTTGAACAATGCACACCCTTTATCATTCCAACATTGAGCAAAGTTATTGGCATGAAACATGGACCCAACTACTAAAAAAATAACAAAATACAAAGTATGTATTATTGCATAAAACAATTTTTCAAAAGTGTTGGGGATTTAATGTGTCAATGACAAGTTTTCCATGATTCATTTTCCCAACACAGCTCTAATGATTTCTCAAAAATAGGTTGAAACTTGAAATGAATATTCAAACTCCCCAGGAGTATATTAGGTGTGATTCTCTCGTGTGTAACATATGTGATTGTGGATAAACATAAACATATTGGCTAGTTTTCACCTTACTAAGAAATAACAAAGACACTGCAAAGAGGTAGCAAGCATACTTTAGAAGTGGAGTCCAAAGTACACAAAGGTGACTAATCAAGGGTTTCACCCGTGATGATATAAGGTCACAATTAAACAGTATAAAGTGAAACACCTGAAGTTGCATTTAAATAGTAAAAACCTTACCTAATAATGACATTAGAGGGTCATTGATACCATTAGGTAACCAACTAAAAAAAAAGTATTGAAGTGCTACAAAATTGGTGGTAGATTCATATGAAAATATTTGTATCAAAAGTCTTTTTAATAATGTGGAGGTTAGGCTATCAGTTGAAAGAGAACATTTGATAGTCTCCACTTGAGGAGGAGTATATCAAGTGAAAGACTCATGCTTGAGGGAAGAATTGCTACAGGGTGACAAATGTAAGTAAAATGTCTCTCATTGAATATAGATGAGCAAGTTGAAGAACATATAAACAGTAAAAATACACAATGAAAGACCCAACAAAACATACACACAAGCACTATATAAACAATAATCTCATGCCTCTACATTTCAATGAACTGTTCATGATTATGTTTAACTTCCTCCAAGTAGAGCATACAATTCTTAAAATACTGTTAGCAATATACAATTAGAGAAAAACAAATGCATACAACAATACAGATTGATGGATGAAAATATAATTGAAAGTTGGAATGATTAGTAAGATTCTTACCTCATAAGGATGTATGTTTTGTCCAGCAAACAGTACCAGCCGAGCTAGTCCAACTTTAAAATGGGAGCTCAAAACACATTGAACAAAGAGGTTTGGCTCACAACTGTGGTTGATAAATCTTGCAACATTACCATAAGATCCAGCATCTATACAAAACTCAGGCTCATCCTCCATTGTCTCATCATCCTGCTCTTCAACATAAACGTCTATAGGCAATGATGCATTGGGTGCCCGTTTCTAAGAAAAAGAAGTTATCAGTTAATAACATCCCTCCAAGTAAAGTATTTGAAAGATTAATTAGATGGCTACGATAGTACAAACAAATTATAGTGTATTAAAAAGAAATCCTAAGAACAATACACTAGGGTTACTTGATTGTATTTATTTACAATAAATGACGTTTAATTTTAACACCAAATACGACTCTAAAATAATACAATCAATATAAATAAAAAAAACTTATTTATGATAACTATTCAATATCAGATTCTAAAGGAAAAAACACATATCATCAAAATGCTTTAAAAAAATCAACTAAAAGAATACTATTCTTAATTCTTACTTGTCGTCCGTCTACCCCTTTAATGGTTTGCAAGAAATCAACGTCAAATATATATTCGTTCTCTGCCTCATCATCCAACTCGTTGCTTTTTCTAAGTATGCCAACGTATTCACAAACTGGTGCACCAGAAGGAACAAAATCCCATGTTCTAACAGCCCATCCTTTTTGGGATGTGCGATAAACCTACGCAAAAGAAATTATATTAGGAAGGTAACAAATTCACACATTAATTGATGATAAATTTAAGGTATAAAAATATAGGTAATCACCTCAAGCCGATACTTTATAGTCGTTTGAGATACTTTGTTGCGACAATTGGGTCCGCAACCACAATTTGAACCACATTCAAACACAACGTTTCTAGCTTCGGTCAACCTGAGATGAAGAAAGCCATTAAAAAATGTTAAAAGGACATTTAGAAGATTAAAAGTGCTGAACAAATGAAGTTCTAGGAAGGTATAGAAAAATGAAATCAACAATTTATTTAGAGAAAGAAAAAAAAGCGAAAACTTACATAGAAAATCAATATAATGTTTGCTAAGATATAATTAAATGGTTGTAAACAAAACTTTCATACCTATCAAGATAAAAGTGTTGTATAAAATTCTGAAATGGAGTTTATGGAACCCTTATTTTGTACGTGTAAAGTAATGTGTTAATGGCTTTGTTTTGTCACTATGATCCCAAAAGGTGAAAAACAACATATGTTTATGCATTGTCGATTGTCTGCAAGGAAGGAATATAAAATAAAGCATAATAATATAAAATATTACCTGCCACCATTTCGATTAACGTAAGGGAAATTCAAACCATTAAGTTTGGCACAACGACAACTATATCTACAATTCCCCTTGCATTTGCATCCAAAGTCATTAGGTGGAAATTCTATATTTTCCGCAAGTTGCAATGATTTTATATATGTAAAGCCTAAAATTTTAAAACATTATTGATGTCAGCACCACATGATCAATATTTGACAAACAAACATTTTCCTAAGTGAAGCAAGATAGAGAAAAAGTATATTGGGAAAAACATAAAAATGATATTAAAACAACAATTTACGTACATAACTATATAATTTAAATACTAAAGTGAAAGTGCTCAAGGAAATTGCAATATTAATTTGATGAAGTGTTACTACTCAGAGAGTATAAAGCTGAGTTAGGATATATACAGTATAATACAACTCTAAGAATACAACAAACATTAATAATCATAAAACATAACATGACTTTAATATAACGTATAAAATAAAATGTTAAATTACAAGTGAGAATATATTCATATTTTGAAAATGAAAATGACTTATTATAAATATAAAAGAATACTAAAATTTATTAAATTACTGTAGTGTTCTATTTTTAAAAAAAATAAAAAATAAAAATATATATATATATATATAAAGAAGATACTCAAAAATCACTGAGTTGTTTCAATGTTAAACATGTTCAAATATTTAACCAACGCAATTATGATACAGTACAACTATTACTGATAATAAATATCCATGCTTCCTATTAAGTTATCACTCGTATCCTAAAACAAAATTTGCATGCTACTAAACATTAACTAATGCAGCTTGGTGATGATTAAAGTTACCATTAGGTGCAATAGGAGGATCGTCATATTCATTGGTAACAGGAATCGCCAATAATTCTTGACCACTACTAAGGTCCCTGCATACCAAGCTAAGAAAACCATATTCTTTAAAGTTCAATTATAAATTACAAATTTGATGCACATGATCAAAAGATCTTACACTACATCTCTTTAAGAGATCTGAAAATAGCATACCATGGATTATCAGAAAGAGCTTTGGATATTTGTTCTTGAGCAAAATGGACCTATCCAAAGAAGTCAAACCAAATGTTAGAATTACACGTACCATTATTAGTGAAGTAAGAATGTGTTACTACACATTAAGGTGAAAAAAAACACATGATAGTGATTCAGAAAATAGGGGGAAATGAAAATCGAATTACAAATGATGTCATATAAATTTCATAAAACGCATGACAATAATAACCTATACATGACACAATAAGTAAAACTTTTAGAGCACGGAACATAAGTTCTTCACCTATAGTGTATGATTAAACAAAAAGTGTATCATTCTATATAAATATATAAATTAAAACATGAAGCCAAACTAAACTGCTTGTTGAATAAAGAAGAAAAGAGAAAAAATAATCGTAAATTAAGAGTTATATATTCGATAAAAATATTAATTCAACAATTACTATAACTGAACTTTAATCCCATGCTTGCAGTGAAATCTCGATGACATTGATTTCAGAAATAATAAAGAAAGAAGAAACAACTAAATGATTGTAAAACTTACAACCTTATCCATTCCCAATTTGGCCATTTCCTGAAGTTGTTCTATGAGATATTTAGATGTTGTAAGTCCAGGAATTTGCTTCTCAACATTCCTATATTTTTCAACCTGCAAACCAAAAAAATAATAAAATTATTTGAATGCATAATTAAAGCTATAACATTGTATATATGATTAAAACAATTTGTTATTTTACATTAAAATCTTAGCAGAAGGAAGCAATGAATTTTCATGTAGCTACCACTTGTGAAATTATGTGTCTATCTTTGTGGAATATGAATGATTCCTATAAGAGGATAGATTACTCCACTCTTTTATGTAGGAAACTCAATCGATAAATGAACGTAGAAACATTATTCCAAAATAAATATGTTGACATTTGATATAGGATTAGACCTATGATTAACAGTACCATCTTCACAAATGAAAAATCCATTTTAATATAAAAGCTTACCTTGGCAGTTAGAAAAGCCTCAGTTAGCCCATTGTTCTTTCTCCTCACAGCGCGTTTATTCTGCTCTACCATAGGGACAATATTAGAGAAACAAGTTGGAAATGAATATTGTACTCTACTACTTAACAGTCAAAATAACAAAAGCAACTAAGGTAATAATTATTAAGAACAGTCAAAAATTGTATTGTTTTTATTTTTAAAAACAAAAACTATTTTTAAAAAGAGAAACAAACATGTTATAAATGTCAAAAGTCAAGAAAAAAACATTTTGAAATATATTAGAATTAATATTCAAGAAAAGAAGGAGATTAATATATTAATAGGATTATAAAAGTAATAGCTCCAGTATATTAACAAGGGAATATGCATACGATAATAGATCCCAAGTAAATTTCCTGGATACTCATGTTGCTTCAGTACGATTAAAATTATTCAAAACTCACTTTATTCACTTATAGATAATATTTTTATTTTTTTTAATCCAAGAATTTGTATCAAATTCTTCGAAATCCACCATCAACTAGACATAACACAAAATACTTTTTCCCAACAAAAAAAAAAAAAATCAACTTTGATTCTTTTATACTTCGTAAACTAATAGAAAACCCTACTGAATATATAAATAATGTGGAACATAAGAATCAAGAGAAAAAAAAAGAGTAAGAATTGTGAAAATTAGTTTGTCACCTTATAATAAGATTCTTCAAGTGTCTGAACATTGAAAAGCCTTAAAGACTCTTTCACTAAGAGGACGCCTCTAAAGTCCAGTTCATCAAAAACAAATGTTTGGCTTGAATCTTCCCCATCTTCAATATCATCATCACCATCTTCAACATCATCATCAACATCTTCACCATCTTCAGCATCTTCAGCATCCATAAATGTCTCTTCACAATCACTTGAGCCAGAGTTTTCGCGAACTTCAACTAATGGTTCCTGTTGAATGGAAGGATCGATGAACTTGGTTCTCTTTTGAATAGAATCATCCTCATCAGTACCACTCATTGACCTCTTGTGATCTCTGCCTTCGTAAACTTCTGGCATGTTTTCAAGTGGTGGGCTAACTCTTGGCTCCACCAAACATTCATTCGTTTCAGTCAGTTCAGGATGTTGTTCAACAATGATGTTGCTCACATCTGATGAAACTTTACTAGGATGTTCATCAGCCACCACAATTTCATTGCTTGTAGCAGCAACATTGTCATCACAACTCGTAATTACAACCATTTTGTTGAATCGTTTGGAAGCACAAAATCAACACCTGCTTTAAGAATTGAAAAATAAAGATCAAACAACAAAACCTGGGTTATTTAAGAAAAAGGAAGATAGTCTCAGGAGAAATAAATGACCAAGAAAAATATTAACTCACCCTCTTAAATATACTCTTTATTATTAATTACATTAATTTTTCAAATTTAATAATTTTTACTGATGTAATAAAAGCGTGTTTGTGGACCCTTTAAATTATTAAAAAATACCTCTGACACAGAACCATCCCAGGGTAGGTCATGCAACACAGATACGTTACATAACATTAATCGATGAAAGCTCCTGACCACCTTTGAATATATATAACATTGATCAATAAATTATTATTTTTTATGCAAAAAATGTAAAATAACGCATTCAAGTCTTAGCTGTAGAAAAGCTTTTCAAACTCAATACTTGCACAAAAAATAATATTTAATTTTCATAAACAATGTTCAATTATATATATATATATATATATATATATATATATGATATAAAACATAAAAATGTATACCATTTAATTAAAATGGAAATAAAATATTTATAAATAAATAAATAAATCAGTATACAGATTTTCTTATGATTTTAAAATTAATCGATACTTTATACATGCAACTATTTTATACTTCTATGTCTCAAAGCACATCAAACAAACATATCAAAGCGTAATGAAAAATCATAAAGCAATATCAATAACAGTTGGGTCACTGTAGGGAGGGGGGAGTGAAGAAAAAAATTCAATTTTAACTTATGCATTTCAAGAATAAAAAAAAGGGCTCCAGATTTGAGATCGAATCTCAATCATGTTATAGGAAAATAAAGGGGAAAAATTGAAATTTTGAACTCTCAATGCTTGAATAAACCAAGTCGAAGCAAACAATTTTAAAGACAAGAAAGAGATGAACCGAAAGAGCAAACCAATAACAATAGCTTGAGTTGGAGTTGGAAGTGTAGTGAAGATAGAAGGAATGGAAATTTACACTCACCAAGTAATGGAGAGTATAAAAAGATGAATGTGGGGTTGAAGAAGGCTTCAGCTTTTGGCTTCAATTCATAGAAAATGATTTGTCAGAGAGATTTGTTTGAATTGATGAAGATGTGGGTGTGACCATAATTAATAAGCTCTTATTATTCTTCTTCTTATGGTCCAAACAAATTAAATTCAATTCAACTTAATTAAAAATTTAGTATTTGAATTTAATGAAATATTCCGTAAAATATTTTATTTATGTCAAAAAATAAATATTTATTTATATCACAGAGTTTAATATTAATAGATTGTCAAAGACGCAGTAATATTTATAATTTTTAATCTTTACTAAAATATAAAGAGGTTCCTTGAGAGGGAAAAGGGGGGAGAATAATTTTATTTTAAATTAAAAATTATTTATCATTGATAAAATAAATAAATTTTCTATGAATTTATATTTATATTTTTAAAAATATATAATTTTATATATCTTTTAAAATAAAAATTTAACAATCTCTCTCTCTCCAAAACTCTTATAAAAAGTTGAATAAATAATACAATAAATTTATATTAATTTACTTTTCATTTAAAAATCATATAATTAATTAAATATGCAAATTTAACAACCTCTCTCTCATAAAAATTTGAAAGTTGAAAGAGAGGATATTATTGAGAATGAAAACCTGAATCAGAGAAATTAATGTATGCAGCTGAATATGGTAAAAAAAAAAAGTAAATACTGGGAAATATGTAAAAATTAATAAAATTTCTTAACAACTGTATTAAGAAATAAAAAATAATTTAAAATGAAAAATAAAATATTACTAATCAAAGCATTTATTACTTTTTATTAAATCATTTAAAAATAATAAAAATATATTAAATGCTTCTAAGCATTAAAAAAATAAATTTAAGTGTAGTATCATAAATATTTTAAATTTCATTTAATTTTATCTTAGAAAATATATTATCTCTATATTTCCATCGTTATGTGTGATTTATTGAAATACGACTTTGATTTTAATAAAATAATGCAAAATATTTATAAAGCAGAAAATAAATTTTAATTTTAAGAAATCATATTTTTCTTTTTATTCAACATTAACTTAGAAAAACATGTATCTAAGATATCTTTTACTATGTCTATAACTAAAGTTGTAGTGCAAAACTAAGAATAAAAACATGACAAACCAAGAAGTCTCCCAATCTTACAGTTAATAGAGAATTACTAGTTGACGTGAAACTAAATTTTGCACCTTTTAACCCACTTAAGAGAGATGTTCTCAATTTATTATTAATTAATAAAAATTTCTTTTAATTTTAAAAAAAAATTAGAGAATTACTATTCCTATATAACAGTATTTAACCATCTAGGCAATTCTAGCAAGTGTATTAAAGAATAAAAAATTAAAAAAACATTTAATGTTAATGAAATTGCAACAAAACAATTATTCTTTTTATTTAAACATTCAAGAATTTAATAAAAATAATAAATGCTTTGAAATGTTTAAAAAAGACAAATTTTAAAAACATTATGACATACAATATGTAATGTAATTGACTTAATTATTCATATTATAAAAAAAATTAATTAGTTAAATTAATTAATATCAACAGAATGTGTGGAAAAAAAATTAAAAGTAAGAAATACGATTTCTATAAATTAATACACTTTTGAATTATATATCTGACAAATGTAAGAATAAAATAAGGTATAAATAATTTTTCTTCAAATATATTATATTTTAATTTTAGTTTTTATAATTTTTTTAGAATTATTGATTTTAATTCTTAGTTATTGTTAAATAATGAAATGGTTAATTTAAATGTTGTCATGTTTGAATTTTTGACTGTATACTACATACCACTTTACTAGTGAGATTAAAATTAATATTTTTTTAAAACTTAAAGGACTAAAGTAACCAACATAATTTAATAAGAATTATAAGAAAAATACTTATTTTATGGTTTAAAAATATATTTAATCTATAAAATAATTTAAAACAGAATATTAAATATTTTAAAAATTAAAATAATTATTAATTTCTATTTAAGTATTTAAAATTTCATAAAATATATTAAATTTAAATATTTCAAAATTATAAAATTTAAGTGCAATATTAAAATTAATTTTTTATTTTAATAAATAACACAAATTTTGTTATAAATGTAGAAATAGATAAAATTGTAAATGAATTTAATTGGTTAAATGACTTTAAAAAATAACTAAAAGTCAACAATTTATATAAAAATATGAGTTTAATTTTAATGTATTATTAACATAATTTTGATATTATCATGTTTTAACTAAATTCAATACATAGAAATAATTAGAACGCTTTGAATATCTAATTTTAAGTTGAATTCAATACAAAATATTTTTTATTATGTATCTTTAAAATATAAGCTAAAATATTATATATATATATATATATATATATAATTCATTTAAATAAATTTCATAAAAGGAACTATTTAAAATGCCCGAGAGCAATGCTCTCAAGATTTCTATCCGTTAGATACATAAATAAATTTTTGAAGTAATTTATTGTGAAATTTGAATTGAATAATTAAACCCAAACAAAAGACAACATTAACTGTGCTGTCATGCGTTATTGCGTTTAATAGCAGCTAACAAGTTTTTATGCATTACACGGATCGTATGGGTAATTTTATAAAATACAAATTATATTTATTATTGGTTTATCAAAATTTGTAATAAAAAATAAATTCCAAACAAAAGTATATTTTAATATACGAAAAGTTATATAATTTGATGAGAATAAGTACAACCGTTGAAAATATTCCTATTCAAATGTGAACACTTAGATTTATCATATAAAAGTGAACAATTTTTAACGGATATTTAAAGTTTAAAAAATGTAAATAAAAAAATTAAAATAGAAGTCATTTTCATTATTAATAATGAAACTTTCACTATATTAAATTTGTTAATGATGGGATAACATTTTTTCAAATTGAGAAAGAAATTATGGAATTTTTTTTAATTAGGATATATTATCCTTATTGATATGGTATATTAAAATTTAAATTAAACTAAAATTAAGTAATAAAAACCATAACTAGAAAAATAAAATTATATGCTTAATATAAGAAAATATGATTTATTGAAGATAAAAATAGTTCCTAACTTTTTCTTTATTCAAAGATAAAAACTCGTGTTGATAATGCAATTATAAATTTTATAAACAAGAAAGTCATTAAGAAAATATTGGAAAGAGAGCGTACTTTTTAAACAGAAGATGAATATTTTAATTCCTATATTAGAAAGAGACAGTTAATAAATATTTAATTTTAAAAAATTTTCAATGCATTATGTTTCTTAGTAAATACCCAATAATTAATTTCTTTATTTTTTTAAAGTTTAACTAATTAAAACTGCATGCTGTCCTGCGTCTTACAACCAAGCTAATCTTATATATTGTTTTTTTTTCCTATTACATTGCTCATCACATATCATTTTCTTTTTTTCATTTTTATCTCTCTCTTCTCTTCTAAGATGTATATACCATAAAAGGTGTGAAAAGACTATTTTTATTTAGAGCAATGATACACAAAATTGGACACTGAAAAATAATGAAATCTAGATATTGATATCCAAGCCAAAAACATATAACAAGTAATGAAAAATATTTGAGATTTTGGCTTATACGGGTGTTCCAGATCCATTGTTTCCTGCTACTATTCTCTTCCAAAACCAATGCTTCTCAAACAGAAGATAAATCTCCTCAATGGGAACTTGTTTAGTTTCTGGCAAGAAGAAGAAGATAAAGCAGCTCATAAGGGCAACCAAGGCACCAAATAGCAAGAAAATTCCATATTTGAGGTGGCAAAGTGATACAAGGAAGAGTTGTGCCACAAGTGCTGTGAAGATCATGTTGACACACACCACAACACTTTGTGCTGCTGACCTTATCTCTAGTGGGAATAGCTCACTAGGAACCAACCACCCCAAGGGACCCCAAGATCTTCCATATGCCAAAACGAATAAGAAAATCACTATAACTAAAAAGATACCAATACCCAATGGTAGTTGCTTTCCCTTTCCAAATTCCAAAGCCAAAACTATAGCTGTAGCAACCTGCATGTGAAATAGTCCTCAAATTAGTAATTTAATGACTAATGACTAGTGGATATCATGTTTGTTGTTGACAAACTACTTTAAAAGTTTAAGCTGTTGTTAATCAAGTGAAAACACAAATAGTTTTCTTTCCTTGTGTTGAAATTTATTTTTTTATTAGAAGAATAGGGCACCAAGAATTGAAATGCAAATCACCTAGGCCTAGTTTGGATTAGCATGTAACATATGGGAACTGCTTATTAATTGTGATAAGTAATATTCAAAAGTGGAAAGTCTTAAGAGATTAATGGGTAAAAGACTTCAATTTATGTGAGAATCTATTATATAGAAGACATAATTATTGCAAGATCATTTTAACTTTTCTTTCCGTATAAGTACTTGCTAAAAACGTTTACCTAAACTGACTCTTACTCATAGAGGCTCTTATACTAACTAATCCAAAAACTCAAAACTTTTTAAGTCAAGATACACGAATGGTTTTTATGTTATTAACATAGTTATAAATTTATAATCTTAATTGCATTTGTGTTTAATGATATTTTAAGGAGAAAGCTATAAATGAAATAATTACCATGCAGAATATCATTTCAGCACCGGCTTCCAAAAAGAAAGCTCTCCTACCGAACTTGTCAACATAAGCCATTGAGATCAGAGTGGCAAGAACAAGTGCAACACTTGTAATAACAGATGAATACAGAGATGCACTAGAGCCAAATCCCAAGGTTTGGAAAATGACAGGGGCATAGAAGAGAATGGAGTTGTTGCCAGTTAGCTGTTGGAATGCTGGAATAGCCAATGCACCAATTATTAACTGTGGTCTGTTCTTTCTTTTAAGGAGGTTCTGAAATGGGTTCTTAATAGCTTTTGCGTCTCTACTAGCCTCAAGAAGATCATCAAATTCAGCATCAACATTAGGGGTGCCCCTAACCTTCTCCAACACTATTCTTCCTTCCTCAATTCGTCCTTGTTCCACAAGACTATTAGGTGTCTCAGGACACACACAACCTCCAATGAACATCAAAATTGCTGGAACAGTAGCTAAACCAAGAGACAACCTCCACCCCCAAGGATGAAGCCTCTCAGTACCATAATTCACAAGGTTAGCGACTAAAATTCCCAAACATGTTGTTAATTGAAAGAGTTGGTTCACTGCTCCTCTTATTTTTGATGGAGCCATTTCTGAAAGATAGAGAGGAACAGCCTGCACAATAATTAGAAAAACAATGCAAGTAAAATTAGTAAAAGATGAATAACAGTTTCCGGTTTTTTTATTTGAGGATATGATTATTGGTTAAAGTTAAACTTACTTGGTTACCAAACCCAATGCCAATACCAAGAAGGACACGTCCAATGATCAACATTGCAATGTTCTTTGCAGCTGCATTTAGAACTGCTCCAATAAAGAAGCTTATGGAACCAGCTAAGATACTGGCTTTCCTTCCTTTGTTCTTCGTTAAACTTGAAGCACCAAAGGTGGATATGAGGGCAGCAAAATACAGAGATGAAGTGAAGAGTGTCAATAGCTGATCATCATATTTACAATAATCTGTTTCTGCAAGATGTGCATGCTTCCTCTCATACACATGTGGGAAGAATTCTTTTAGGAAATCATCCATGGAGGTAACTCCACCTGTAATATCAAGCAAATCTTTTTTTAAACAAATGATCAAAATAACTAATGCAAGAAATTTCCCATGATTTAATTTTGATGGAGACACACATTACACAATAAAATGCAAGATGGTAGCTAGAACTCACCTGAAACACCAAGATCATAGCCGAATAGAGAGCCACCGAGAGCTCCAACAATGCAAGAATAGATGAAAAATCCAGTAATCTTGTACTGGTATAGATGAGCCCTCTTGGCATTCCCTATATCAGCAAATCCTCCACCTGCCATTTTAGCTTCACTTTTTCTTTTCCTATCAATCAATTCACGGTGACAATCACTGACTAGGTTAACATAAGATCACACTTGACTAGTCTAATCTAAGGTTCTTTTATCTTATTTTAAACAAAATCAAAGAATACAAACAATCGTGTATCAGTTACTCTGCATGTAACAGACGATAGAGTTAATTCCAAGTGCTATCTAAGTTGGTTTTCCTTTTTATTTATATCCCCTAAGTTTTTCTTGATTTAGTTAATGGAATTGGAGGGTTATTAACAATTATGCTGTGCAAGCCGCTAAAGCACAAGAAAGAAGGCCTGAGTGTAGCAATAGTTGACAAACCATAATAATATGAAGATTAAGGAGAAAAAATGTTAAAAAAACTTGACTAATTCCTTGCCTTAAACATGTCCAAAACAAGTGCTTCCACCCCTTTTAAATCGCAATCTCTTGTCCATATATCTGCTAAACCGGTTTTTGTGTTGCCGGGTCCTTATCCTATTTTTTCTCGATATCTTTCTGTATGTCAAATTTTAATTTTACTATCATGCCAAAAATTCTTCTTCTTTTCTATTTCTTTTTCCTAGTAAGTCAAAGTACATATACACATATAAAAGCCAATATTTGCCTTGTCTTGGTTTCATTCTTTTTCTTCGTTAATCATGTTTATATCTCGGGCAATTATAGAGTATTGCTGATAAAACATTTTTCTTAAAATTTCTCTGTTATTATTAGCATTTTAAGATAAATTTGCATACAAGTTATTTGTTTTACACTTCGATTGTTATTGAATTTATAAAACTTGTGTACAAAACAGTTTCTATTCCATATATATATATATATATATATTAAATTCTGTTAAATTAATGCATTTTGTCGTGGTTTTTTAAAATTTTGACAATTCTTATTGTTGATTTGGAGATGTCTTAACAAACAAACCTACGACTGTAATTTTTTTGTACTCTTAAAAGTAACTAATACCGCAAATAAAAAATATTTATTACTTTAAAAATATAAAATACATGAAAACATTTTTTAATAAAAACTTATTAATATTAAATGATGACTAATGTTATACTCTTGGCAAAACAAAAGCTGTGCATGGTGCATGAGGAACGTGCAGATAAATTTTCTTTGCAGATTTCCATGAAAAAAATATTAATAATGTAATATAGTTGGTTAATTAAATTGAGGATAATTTACGTGTGTCGCTTTCATTTATTGGATTTCAAACATTTTAAGGATCGCAATATCTATGTATAATGACAATATCTATCTATATATATAAGCAACGTGTTAGTTAAACATGCAAGTATCTAACCTTCTATATATTTGATAATGTTCTTTTGAAATTCATATGTTGTGTTGTATAATTCACCATGGATTCAATCCTAAGTTTAAGAACATTGTTAAATGGTAAGAGGAAACCATTTAATAACTTGCATGCACCACGTATATATAGCTTCTGTTCAGGTGCGTATAAAACAGTGATTGCATTATTTAACCCAATTTAATATATTTCGGAATGAAAACTGTTTTATACGTATATATACGTATAAATAACTTATATATACGTATCTTTTCTTTAACCAACCTGATGAAATTCTTGAATGTGTTCTTAAATACACATAGGTACAGCATTATTTACCTATGTATGATTTGTCATAGGGGTTTAAATAGTAATCATGATTTTAAAATATGTATGAGATATCTCTAATTTTAAATCTGTCACTTAAACAAATAGTGATAAAATTAAGCTTTTACAGGTACAAGATACTTATACTTAATCTACTGTAGATCTATGAATATATATTATCTATACTTACAGTTTTAACATTAATCACCGTAAGTGTCTATGGGTATATTCTAAATTATTAAAATATAAATTTTATATTCAAATTGAATTTATTCTTTTATTTAGTTAAATATAAAATATAGATTTGGATGAAATTTAACTGTTTACCTGATTCGATAAAATTTGAAATAGATTAGCCTAAGCCAATCGAGTAATCTGGTTTTACAGCTCTACTTAAACGCCATTGATAACCATCTATATAAAAATCATTAGTCGAAGTGCTTATATATACAACTTCGATAATCAATTCGATTCTCTTATGGTCGAAAATATCTCATTGTCATCAAATGTAAATAGAAAATCATGCACAAACTTCTATTATGTTAATTTTTGTCCAAAATCAATAAACATTACAGAAACAAGAGACTAAACAAGCCGTAATTAAGAACGGGTTGAAGACAAAGACAAGAAATTATAGTAAATAGACAACAAGGCATAGAAGCTGAAAAGAACAAGGAGTGCTTATTGCAATTAACCGAGTGTGAAAAGCATTGTGAAAATTTAATAAATTGTGTGGCTTTTATTCATTAAGTAGTAAAGTTTATATATATAAACTTTGTTGGATAGTGAAGAACATATGCGAGGTGTATTAGGAGTAAGCATTTCACATTTTGATGCTTAGTTTAAATATTTATATATTAAGTAAAATAAGTATTTAAATTAAAGTTTTAGTTTTAAATTTAAGGTTTAACTTATGAAAAATTAGTTTTCAACTAAAGATTAAAATTTTCAAACCTTGAATTTATGTATCTTTTGTTTTCAAGTAAAAAAGGTATTGGACCCATTTCTAACATTACCTGTATACATTTATTCTTGATCAATCAGTAAGCAAATATATTGGAATTGTTGAAATGGAATCTTGGGTGAAATTGAGCATATGGTGTTTAACTTTGTTCTTGATTTTGAATCATTGAGCAAGGGTTTCTGGAGAATTATGTAGCTCAGTATGAGACTTGAGTTGAAGACACTAATGACAAATATATAAACTAATAATACTTTAAATATGTTTATTTTTAATTTCTTGATAATCTATTACTATTTTGGCTTAAATTGAGAGATTAATAGCCTTATATGTAATAATTAATTAAGCAAATGAAGTGATTCAGCAGGGAAAAACCAATATGCATTAAGTGACGGTGCCTAACTAATACTAATATGTAGGATGGTATGTGACGATGAGCTTTGTCTAAAGGTGATGTGACTTTGGTGAATGAAGACAAAGGATAGAGTTGGTAGCACAGAATGGCACGCTAAATGGATGTGGTGGCCTTAATTTGCATTACACTAACTTTAAATTGAAAAATGTCTGCAAATATTATTCTTTTAATGTATAGTTTTATTATTAACTAAATATATTAAAAATATTCATATTCCTAGTTTAGTTCTCTGTTTTGGCTACGGCTGAAATCACTCCTATGTCTCTTGGCACTATTTGCTTGTCATCTTGTTCTGCCCATCCACTCATTAGATTAATTTATAGTGAAAAAGTCAATTGGATTATTATTATTATTATTATTATTATTATTATTATTATTATTATTATTATTAATCAGCTTAATTTAAATAAATTTGAATTGGGTTGATTTTTTATTATTTTTATACACTCATTAAATTCATTAAATATAAAAGCTTAATATAATAAAAAAACAAAATACATGTTTAAATTAAATTATCAAAACAAATTAAATACAAATTCAAATTAATTCATTAAGATATACTAAAATACAACCTTTACACTAATTGCCCGTCCTATTTTAAATATTAAGTTTGACTTGACAAACTGTTTTGAATTTGAAATACACAATTTTAATTTTATTTGAATCAAATGAAGTTTTAAATTTGGATTTAAAAATAAATTTAAGTTAATAAATGTCTTTAATGTCTAAATATATTTAAATATGTGCATGTATGTGTGTTTTATATGAATTGGTGGATATATTTTAATATGAATATTAAAATAATCAAGACTTATAGTTAATTTGAAGATTAAATTAAGCTATTCTTGTCATTTTAAGAAGCAATTTTTATAATTTTAATAAATAAAAATAATGTGATCTTTTTTCATTATTATTGGTATTTTTAATAATTTTTAATAAAAAATTAATTTTAATGTATACATTTAGAAAAATGTTATTTACAGACAGATTATACAGACAGAATTACAGACAGATTTGTGATTTTTTTTTTATTTGAAAAATCTGTCTATAAATTCGTCTGTATTACAGATCTGTCTGTAGTTTGCTAGTCATTTGGCGCGAAATTATATAGACAGGAGTTATAAATGGATTTCTGTCTGAAATTTGAAAATTGAGAAGAAATTGGGAGCGGAGTTATAGACGGATTTTTCCGTCTTTAAATGTTGCCATTTTTAAGCAACTTTTCATGTCGCTATTTACAGACGAATTTTTCCGTCTGTAAATTACAGACGGAAAAATTTGTCTATAAATAGACATTTAAAATGCACCGTTTCATTAAACTATTTACAGACGGATTTTTCTGTCTGTAATGTCTGAAACCCATAAAACTGCGTCTCCCCCTTCTTCTTCTTCATTTTTCATAAATCTCTCTCTTTCTCTCTCGCCTCTCTGTACCTAGGAGCTCAGTTTTTTGGTCTTTGTGAGTGATTGGAGCATCTGTTTGTCAAATAATTTGCATCATTGTGTTCCTGGTATGATACTCTAACTTTTAATCGATTTATTTTTTTTATTTTTGATGTATTTTAGAGACTTAAAATTTTTAAGATAGAGTTGTAGGATTAGAGATTGTATGACTGAGGAGAAGGGCGTAGAGGTCTTTCTCCGAACCTGATTATTGTATGCTGTGAGATTATTTGTGTTTGTGAAGTTTGTAGAATATGCATGTTGTAGAGTTTACAGATATTTCGAACAATTATATGGTCACGAATCCCTTAATCAATTTTTATTATGGTTCAAAAGTTATGTACGTTGTGAAATTTACCTAACAAATTAGTTTATCGACTTTTTAATATTATTTTGTATTCAATCAATTGACATATTTAATGGTATGTGTAGGTGCGTGATCCTAGTAATGGTATCACAGATCTTGACCTATATAACTTGTCTAGAGGTCCAAAAAATAAAGCATATTGTTGGCCAATTTACTTTGTTAATGGATATAAAATCCAAACTGTTGA